AAAGCAAGTTGCTGATGGATAATCTTGGCTACTTGATTATGCCTATGCAAATATTCACTGTTAGCCAAACGACCACAACCAGAAATAATATGTCTAATGGATTCACCAGGACTATGACATGCCCGACATATGTCAACCGTCCCATCCTTATTATTATTATTATTATTATTGAGTGGCATTTAAAATTATTATTTAAAAGATTATCTCGTTGGTTGCTGGTCACAAGTACGATTACCAAGCAGGAGGTCTTGAGTTAGGTTCGTGGGTAACGCAAATGGGTTTTTCGGAATCTCCCATATATCCCCAAGCGGTCACCGGTGCCGGCTCTCCACTAACTACATTATAGACCTTATTTTCGAAGTTTAGAGACGACTTTTGTATGAACAAATTTAGAGGATGAATTTCAACGGGCTAACTGTAAAATATGTATAGCGAAAAGCCTCATTAAGTGAGACTTCTAGGCGAAAAGTGAGTGTCACATTGTATACCTATTATTAAATTCACGAGCAACCAAAGAACGTGACGTTACTTTAAGTCCTTGATCATTGACGTGTATGAAACCAAAACGACACTGACATATGTATAGAGAATAAACGGATCACCTGATAGTAAGCAATTGATGCCATCCATGGACACTAACAATACTGTCTTCGGCTCGGCTCCAACCCAGCATGTGTGTGTGTGTGTATGACTGTGTATTATTAGGCTGTGGTACCATTTCTGTCCGCAAAGACCACGGCTTTCCTACGTTAAAACGCTTAATTCCAATTTCCCTCAACAGATGGCAGTGGTGTGGTGGTGAGAGCAGAGGAAGCCCTGATAGTAGCCTTCGTCCTCCTGCTATGGGTGGCAGCTATAGCCTTGTTCTTCAATCGATGGGGCAAGATCAGGTGCGTCTATAAACTGTACGTAGATTATTTGTTTCATTTTTCAAATGCACTGTAGACGTAGAAGCTAAGGACAGATTTGGCACTGAGTAATGTAGGCTAGTTCATAGGTGTAGATAGAATAAAATGGGATGTTACGCTCTTAGAGACTTGGATAATGGGACCAAATTGCTTGAGAGGTCAATCAGTATTTGGTCAAGTAACACAGTGGCGTGCACAGGGTTTTAGAACAGGGTAGGCAACATAATATTGTATTATGATTAAACTCATCGTAAATACATAACATAATTCAACTTATGAGGTTTTTAATCTTTCGTCAATTTTTTGTAACAGTGCCATCTCTCGTTGTTTTCGTGAAGTATTACATCAACTTATTGATTACTCTAACAACTTAAAAACATTAATATTCTATTTTTCTCTTTAGATTTGTAAAACTAATCTGCATAATTACCTACTCGAGGTGCTGTATAACGATTAATCTAATTTATGTTATCAATTCAGTAGCAGTAACGAATTGTTCATTCTAAAAATTGTACTGAACTGGCGGCCTGTCCAGCCTTCTCACGTTTAATACAAGAATATTACGAATTCTTTACTCTTTTAATTTAATTCTTCGAATTAATAAGTTTGGTTCATCTATTCAAGAGATATTATGATTTTAAGAACTTGGGTATGACTAATAGAAAAATCGAACCGAGCGCGGCCGGCTGCGGCCGAGCCGAGTAAGCGGTAGTACATTTTTTAGTATTATTAAACATTCATTTACCTAGCTTATTCTTCTTCATTTCATTTTATAATAAGTACATAACATATTACTTAAAGCTTCGTTATTTTTACTGACTGAGTTGCCGCGACGGGAAGCTCCGCGTAGGTACCTACTTATGTTACATAACCTAATCACATTAAAATAAAGTAACTTTCATAGAACTTACCAAGACAAGACTATCAGAAGAAAAACTCACACACAATCTAATCACTAAGCGATGGTCTGCGATAGTTTATAATTCTTTACCAACTTTTGTCAATACAAACTTCACAGTTCTTCGTATAACTTTGCAAAATCAATTAACAAATAAACAAACACAGTAATAAAATGTACTTATATAAATAGACAATTTTATACCGTTTACTACAAATTATTTGCGTAGAATTACTAATCGTATTCTAAATCAAATAACAAAATTATCCGAAAATCCACGCATCGCACGTAAACAAAAACAAAAAAATTGTCACGCGCGAGCGGCGTGAAGTTCGCTGCGAGGCGACCAATGAGTAAACCAAGACACGGAACGTGATTGGTCGGCACGCGGCGAACTCAATCACGAGTCGTCAGGCCGTGCCTGCAGGCAAGCTTCGCGACGATAAAATAAACGCGTCTGTGCACTACGCACACAATGACGTTCACCACTACACGCTTAAATTTATGAATGGTTTGCAGGCGACGGAACCGCGTGCCTGCCTCGCGCGTTAATGTTTACAGCTATATACGGTACGCCTGGCGAAATGCAACACGTATCGCGCGCCATCATTGTTGCTATACTATTTATTTTAGGCGTTCACTAACTTTATTATAATTATTATTTTAGTATTCTGTAGTAAAATTAAAATGTTTATATCTTTTATTACGTAGTGTTATTCACGGTATTTGTAAGGTAGGCAAAGTCTTTTTGCCTATATGGACTGCACGCCACTGAAGTAACAAGCAATACAATATTACTAAGTTTAATTTTTTGCATATGTACTATATAGAACATGTAGCATTTCAAGTCCTAAATAATATTCTAGATTATTAAGTAGTTTTATCTCTAGATCTAAGTCTACCTTACCTAAATTATCTAAATAAGTACGTACATCATAAGTCAGGTAGTAAAGTAGAAAAGTTAGTTGCGGCATACTTACACGACTATCATATCACAACAGCCTATAAGTGGCCACTGCTGACCAAAGGCCTTTATTAGAGCATTAATCACCTTGCTCACTGCGGGTTAACGATTTCATACTTATAATTATAGATTATAGGCCTCGGTTTCCTTCACCGTTTGTCAGTGGTGTCTAAACAATCTAAGAAAGTACAGTATAACTCGGAAAAAGTCACATTGGTAGGTACTTGCCGTTGCTCGCATGCTCATGTATGAGAAGTGGGCGTCTTCAAGACTTCTTTCTTCTTCTCACTCACTCACTCAATCAATGTTCACCTCTGCTAACTTATTTGTGTTTTCTGGGTGACTTCAAGGCCCGAGTGAATAGTTTGCTTATGGGACGCCGTGCTCCATCATAGACCGCATCATCGCTCACCACCAGGCGAGATATCGGTCAAAAGTCGACACATCAAATACAAAAAAAAATATATATAAAAACAGTCTATGATTAAAGTTGTCAATACCCCCAATAACCTACAGAACTTTGGAACTCAGTCTGAACTCTATTTTTGAATTAAATACTTGCACTTAAGTACCCAAAGCCACTTGAAGTCCACTTATATTTAGCTTCAAAAGTCCTTGAACTAAATCTGACAGCAGTCTAACTTTATTATTTAAAGGGACGATGAAAAGACCTCAACTTTGACCCTAGGTTATTTAAGTTTACCTCTTTAGGTAGTCTTAATAAGAAAATTTTAATAAATATTCATAACTGTGACCCTTGGTTTTAAGTTTTCTGTACAGTAGCGTAACTTTAGTCCTGTGCAGATTTAATCTATCTTCGCTTGAACTTTTATCGAAACTGGCTTAGTAGTTTTTGAGTATCTAATATGTTGATTTATTAGTTATTGCTACATTATTATATCCATTAATGTTATAGTTAAGTTAAATTAAATAGAAAGTTTGTCTATTTACTCTGAAATTTTGAGTAAATGCATAATATTGTGTTGTTTGGAGTTCGGAGAAAAACATTGCATAATTGTGTAAAGTTAAGAAAAGTTTTGCTTATATATCAAGGTATAGGTAAGCTGTTGTAGAATTTAGGACTGTTTGGCTTTCATTTACAAACACTATAATTTTCTTCTGTGTCGTGAGTGCGTTTACAAACATACAAGTTCACAGACACATGACACTCAGACCCGGAGCAACAATCTATGGATCACACAAAGAGTTGTGCGGGAATCGACCCCGCGACACGTTGTGCGGCAGTCAGTTGCCCAGCCACCGCACCAACTGTGCAGTCAATGATTGTTCAAACAACTATTCATGATAGATGTTGTAGATTTCTCAATGCTGTCCATCTAATATCGGGACAGAAGAATAAAAGTAAATAAAATATCAACATTCAATAAAAACACTAGTACTTTTTATTTTTATAGAGGTAATTTACGAATATGAAACCTAAAGTTATAACGAATTATAAAAAAAGTATCTAGAAAATGAAAAAAGCAATTGAAATGTCTACAACAAGAAAATATGCTGGCGATTGTATCGTCTGTTTGATATAAAACAAATTGTTTACAATAAAGCTTTGTCTGAAGAAACATAGGAATTTGTAATAAAAATGGAATATCAGTATTTACACTGAAAAATCTAACTTGCCTCTTGAAATCTTTTCTAGGTTCAAAACTAAAATCTATCTTTATTGGTTTTGAAAGCAACAGTAAAAAGTTAATCGCATTTCTCTTGCAATTTTATAGTTTTTTGAACAAAAAGTAATGCCTTATGCTGGGACATTGAGCTCATAAAATTCTAACATAAAAATATAGTAGTTTAATGCGACAATTTCTAAAATTAATAACTAAGATTTGAAGAAATTGAAAAGAAATAGTAGGAAAGAAGAATTTCAATTTAATATCGGATTTAAAAATATGTAAATTTTTGAATCGATTGACAGAAGTTTTCTTTAGAATAGTACCTATTTTTCGCCAGATCTCTCTTAGGTTATATTATCTTTTTAAATCTTGATCCATTTGATACAGAAATACTTTATTCTTTAATGTTGTGTCCTAACTAATTGTAACATAAGTTGTAGGTATACTAATCTAATTTAGATCTAGTTAAGCTAAAATTAAGGTACTTTAAATAACTCGACAATTATGACAAAGGTCTACTCAATCATAAATGATGGTTTTGCGAAAACATGCCGATGTTATTAATGTACATACTTACATCAATATTTTTATTGACACAGTGAAAATAATTCAATTGATTTATCGCCGACTTTTGGCCGTTGACTGACGTCCGGTGTAATGCAATTTGTAGAAAATTCTTTATTGCCTCCGATGTTTCCACTAAAAGCTTTTTGTCTTTTTCATCGATATAAAATTCAATTACCTAAATTACTGTATCCTTTTCGAAAAACATCAGATGCGATAGGTAAATGTATAACCAACTGCTTCGTTATAAACTATCAAACACCAAGCGGTCACCGGTGACCGCAACCTATTGTTCTATAATTGTGTCTACAAAACCGGTACTCGACGAGTTAAGAATGACTTTTGAATAAGTGAACTTATTATGAACTTCGCTAAAACTATCTCTAAATTCGTTGAAAGAGAATGTAAATAATATGTTGTACAAGTTGCTTAATAAGAGCAACTCTTTCAGCGAATTTTCCTATGTTATAACAACTTAACCTGTGATGCCATGTTATTATGTTATGTAGGTGATTCTTATTTTCCATAGAATGCTGGAGCCATATCAGCCGAAGTTCCAGCAGCAGCATCGACAGAGTTGTGCTTTAGCTGAGAATTCTGTATCCGTGCCTCCACATGTGAGTTTTTTGGTTATTTGCACGCTTGCACCTTTTTTTAGCCAAAATCATTCTTGATTCTGATAGGCAAGAATAAATTAATGTTGAAAACATAATCAAAAGTGATGAAAACCTTGATAGAGACTTAAAAAAAGATTGAGTCTATAATCTAATTACTGGTCCACATCAGTTAACAAATAAACCAACAATTGTTAACGATGACATCAATAACAAAGATGCTACATCACTAAAAACACTTACAAGTTAACAACACATACGTCACTGGTTCAATCACTGTACACAATTTGAGTGACAGAATCGAGATTGGTTTGCATGATTGAAACTCACCTTTGACAGCTTACGCTGCTCTGTGAATGACTACATTCAACACAGAAGGAAATACAAGACTAGAATAATGTTTCAGAAATGTGATACAGATAATACATCCCAAACCTTTCCATTACAGCAAACTGCAGAAAGTGAATGCCTAAATTATAATGATATTGTAAGGTATTTCTCGCTCTTTATTTGTCGACACGCATTCCAGAATCATTGCGAACGAACACCGTTTTATGATTGTTGAAAGACAATCATGCCATAATTGATGGACTGTATTTTCTTGTTGATAAGATTAAATTTTAAAATAAAGATAAACTTGATATTATTGAAGAAAATACATTCCATTAATATGTTAAAATGAGTAACAAAGCTTTAACATCGATACATGATGTTAATGTTTTTCACAAGCACTATCCCTGTCCACCTTAGGATTTGGCTTGGTAAGAGATTTTCTAGTAATGAACCACTGCTTTGTACAGCACCGAGCATCACTGTCACGCGGCTGTGTGTCATACGACTGCGGGGCATCATTCCCATCTTATCAACCATGCGGGTACCTGTCCCATAGACCGCGGCAGGTAAGGACAATGAAAATTACGTATCAACTTGGTCATTCTAAATCAAACTATAATACAGGATCTTAAAGACTGGTAACGAAATAAGTATTAAACAAAATAGACAATGTTTTAATATCACAGGCTTGGGTAGCACACCAAGTTTTGTTTGTTAGACGTGTTTTCAATTTGTGTCACACGTAGTAGTAGTAAATTTTCCCTTAGTTGGCGAAATTAGAAGCACTTGCCCTTTTGTTTGATTTCCAACTAATGCTGTGTTCTTTTTACTTTTTGAACATCTAGAACTCGGTCTTCGTAAGTAGCATGGGTATGGGAGGGATGGCACTCATTCCTGAGAGTCCACCGAGACGGTCGCGGTCTGCGGCCGACATCCCAGCCCTCGTCACGCCATCAGAAATGTCTCACCACACGCCCAGGTCTTCGAGAGCAGCCAGCTTACACAGCGCAGTAGATATCAGAGTAGGTCCGTCTCCAAGAACGTCCAGAGCTGCAAGTCTACATTCAGCAGTAGATATGCCACAAGGGTCTGTCCAAGTTCACGTCAGAGGGTCAGGTTCGAACTTGAATAGACCAAGAAGTCCAAGACGACTAACTATAACTAATGTGTAATTTAAGCAAAACTGAATTCTATGTCTACGGTTTTAAGGACCAATATGTATTTATGACTGTCAAAGTCATTATATTATGTTTCCGTTTAATAAATGACTATGATATTTATAAGGTCTTTCGTGCTCATTGAAAGATTATGATTATTATTATTACTGAATAGTTAAACTTAATTTTAATCCAAGATAATTTTCTTCGTACATGTTTCTTTCAAAATGCATTGAAACGAAGCTTTAAACCGACTTTGAAAAATTAGTAGTAATTCACTAATTTGATAAAGTTTTTGAATGCTTTCAATGAAATATTGTGGTGTGAGGTTCGAATTGTACCAATGAATTATAATGTATCTGTAGAAATAAGTTCTAGAATAATCTTCTATATTTCCAGTAGATTAGTGTTCTTCTCTTCTCTTCGTCATATCTATCGTATGTATACATACTACTTCGTAGTTAGACTAGTGCGTGCGCGCAAAACTTAGATGTGTGGTGCTATTATTAGTATCAAAATTAATGTATTTCTTAACTATTTCATTATCAGGACTGTTACAATTTGATTTCTTTGTAACTATCAGTTAGAAAGAACCTTGCTTTAATTGCCTCTGTACCTCTTCCATTCATTTATTTTTTGATGTGTTTGCATGGATTGGTAATGGCTTTGTATTAAAATCATAATTTGATCAATGTCCAGCCACTAATTTGGAACTGACAAACTCCTTCCAGCTCGAATTTACCATTTCTCGTGAATCATAAGACATCGTTAATATTAATTGCCAATCCATGTAGTTATTATGTCTTTGAACTACATACCTCAAAAAGGAATTATTGTAGGTACGTAGGTATAAATAATTTTCTAGAAAAATAATTTTCTATCTTATAAATGTGCTATTTAAGAATATTCATTTAATTTATCATCTACAAATATTTTGGCCCTGTCGAGTACGTCCTTCGTGTCTACGCTAATGTCATAAGCAATCTTATTAATTTTAGATAAGGTTGATATTAATAAATTCTTGTCAAATTCTGAATTTATCATTACCGGTTTGTTATTTAATATTGTACTATCCAATAAAGCTTTAAAGCTATCTGCTACCTGTGTTTCGTATAATTTGTTATCTCCTTCATTACATTTAAGATCTTATTCATTTAAAGCACTCATAGTGTTATTTATATCTATAGTCAGAATTTTAATTAGATTCCAGATTTGACAATAGCTACTGTCATTTTGTGAAATAATGATACCACATATAATAGTGTAGTGATGAACACAAAAATCGATAAACAATCAGTGTGTGTGTTTTATAATAAATGTTACAGAAAGTGACAGGATAGCGATAGCGATGACGGCGACAATTTATAATATAACTTATTACCATAATACATCTATCTGTTTTATATGTTATGTTCCTTCATGATTATATTTTTTTATTTATTTCACACACAATTATAAAAGAAAAGTCTCAGATCGTTAAGTAATCGTCAAAACTAAATTATCGGTTCACAAATATTTAATTCCCTGATATACTTAGTTTACGAGAATAAAATTATAAACGAGAAGAATCGATCCAGAAATATTGCATTTCCATATCGAATAATTTCGCAACGTCACTATTTAGTACTTGTCATAACGTTGCAACACTGAAATTGTCAAATCTGGAATCGAATTAAAATTCCGGGTATAGTTATACATCGATCAGATTAATTTGAGTATTTTCAGTTAATATCAAATTAATATCAAACCAATTCGTATCAATTTTAGGAACAACTCTTGCTCGTATATTCTAAATAATGTAGTAATAATATATTTTAAAGGCCAAATACTTTAATCTTTGTACATAGTAGCTTTATAATAAAATGTATTTAATTACTTCGTTATTCCACTTTCAGATATAACTGTAAAAATCGATTAATCATATAATTTAGTTCACCTTGGTAAGAACTAGACGAAACACATGAAATTTGATGAATGTCAAATGGATGAAAATCGTCCAATACTTTCTAAATATAAAATAATCAATCTACAAGATTGATTATTTTATATTTAGATAAGGTTACCTGAAAGTGACGTAACGGAGTTAATATACGTAAGGGCTATTAAGTTTAATAATGATACAATAGAAAGAACCTTCACAATAGCAAACAGCCACGTTGTACATCAATATGAATACAAAACGCTACTTAATGGGAGCTATACCATGGGTCTACTTACAACTGTTACAATTGTTTTGGAACTCGAAAATAATACACGTATACACTCGAAAGTAATTTTTAGTAATCGCACAAAAAATAGACATAGTCAAAAAGCAAATATCTTGAGAACATAATATACACAAAGTTACGAAAAAGTAGTCAAAGAAGACCCATCAGAAGAGTAAAAAGCCGATGTTGACAGTAGTCACTGTCGTTTTATAGGCGAGAACAATAAGTTGTTCTTGCCTTCAAGTTCGATTTTAGATTCGATTAGTCAAAATTCAAAAGAGCCGCTCCCTAACTCGCAAGTAAAAATGTAAACCATGGTAGCGCCCAAATACAATCAATACCATATTCTATCTTTAGACCACCAAGACGACTGTCATTCAAACCGAAATATTGTTTAAATTAACATGTACATAGCTGACTTAGGTAAAAATATATTTTATGATACTGTATCTAAGATTGTAAGCCTGTAAACAAAATCAATTACGATTCTATGTAAATATTGTAATGAAAACTCACAAATAAATCGTGCCTGCGATGTCCTTGCAAATAAAATATATTTTTGGGCCCTTCGACTATCAAAGGCATGTTCTAGATGTAAGCTAATCTAATTCTAATACATTCATTGTTATTATCAAAATTGTATAAAATTTTCGTATTCCGTCCGAGTATGACGTTTTCGCCTTCTTTTAGTATATATTTGTTTTTTGTCCTTCAGTTTCTTCTTGTATAACTTTATGTTTTATTGATTCTGTAGAATTGGTGTGTTTCTTCATAATGCATTGGTTTAAAATTATCTTCATCATTAATGTTAATTATTAATATCATTAAAATTATTGGTTAAATCTTGGTGTTTTTCTATATCTAAGTACAGTTGTCCTGAACCACAAATGCTATTAATTTACAATTTTTGGTCATCATATTTTGGTCTCGTCATCATAGTACTATTTTGATTATTAATCTTTATCATCATTAACACTGACCGAGTTTAATCCAAAATATATTTTAAATATAACAACAAAAGGTTCACTTTATTAAACCACAAACATCAGATCTCTTAATCTAGCTACATCAACTGAATTTCGAGAGAAAATATCAAGTTTTATTACTATGTCTTACTTGAAACTTTTTAATCCGGGTGAGTAGAGTTTCTCTAAATATAACAACGGCTCAAGTCACAATCGTCGCTTGACCCGGCATACATTCTAAATTCAGAGACTTCGCTGCAAGTCCAAAATAAACTGACCTTTATAGACAACTTAGACTCAACAAAGTTTATTTAAAACAAATCGGGTCGCTCATATTTTGATTTGTGAATTGATATTTAAATATTTCGTTAAGAAAACCTATTTTGTCCACTATTTTTAGAAAATGTTTATTAGGTGTATTATTTTTGAGCGGTGAAAATCATTCAATGCCTTCTCCCGGTTGGGTGAGGCGACAGCAAGTTTCAGACTCTTACCAACTAAAAACTTCCTCGTATCTACTGCTGCACTCTCGAATGATCGTTAGACTGATTTACTACTCCTTAAAAAGTAAGAAAAATATTGTTTTTCTTAGTTTGGTTACAACACATTGACAAAACGAAGAACTATAAAATAAACATATTTGGTAGGACATCTACCCTACATTAAAACAGTTTCACATACATTGATTATGACTCAAACAGATGTTCTTTTCTAACAATTAGGTTCGAAATTAATTCTCCTTTCTCAAGCGCATGCATATCATTCACATACATCGCGTTCCTTTCGTATATCAACCTTTCTGTTATTTTACGGCTAAAATATTCAAATCTCGTGCAAAATTTTACTCACTCTACTGTGGAATTGTTTTACCAAAAAAAACTCTGGAATGTTCCAACAAAACGTTTATCGGTCCACAAAAGTAAACGTTTCGTACAATTTCTAGAATTTCGTTTTTAATTTCTTCTTTTGTTTTAATGTTCTAGAACCAGTCGTGACCTAATTGAGACTTTTTAATTACTTCATTACTTGCAAGTTTTGTACTAATACTAAATCTAGAAACGGGTTCCGTTTTATTAGTTTCTCCTTTATTACTTACCTTTGTTGGAAATGAAGCCGGTTTAAAAAGTGTCTCATCATAGGTAGTTCATCTTCAAACAAAACTTTAATTGAAAACCCATTAATTATTCTCGGCGACCTTCGTTTAGCAGCTTTATCTGTATTATTAACAGTAGCATTATCTTTATCTCCAATATTTTCGATGAGACTATCTCTAAAACACTCAAATAATTTCAGCAAATCGAGACAAGCGAAATTGGTATACATGTAATATTTTTTTTATTAATTATTATCCACTATAATCTGTCTCTTTTGTGGGACATTCAGAAGTATATTGGTTGTTGCTTTTTGCTGGCGCGCTCGGTATATTTCCTTCGTGGCATCTTCGTTGCTTAACAGTAGCTCTGTCTACTGGGGTTTCTTTGCATCCGAATTTGTATTTCACACCGAAGCCAAATAGCTCTGCAACAAAATCGAGACAAGACAATTTGTATACATATATAACTTGTTAGAATAGAACTGCACACATTCTTGACTCAGCCAACTAAGTTCAAAAACTGCTCAATTTGTACCAACTTGGAATGGGACATCGATTCCTCTACACACACACATTAAGCTATACAAAACCAGTTTATCTTGGCCTCACTTCGTATGATGTTTCCCCATATTTAATGGTCAGTTTATACTGGTTTGCTTAGCTCGATATGGAACTGTGTGAACAATTCGTTTAACGTAACTTTAGCTATTAAGGTCACTGCAGTTTTTCGTTCGGTTAAACGACCATTTTGCTTTTGTTAAAAACCAATGAATGTGTTATGATGTTTGTTCGCCAACGTTTCCGTGTCAATAATGTATTTAATTGGAAAGATTTGTTGTTTGTAGTGACGCAAGGTCAGTTTTTGGAACTTCTATGCCTGGGTTCTTGATAACTATATCTGACAGATATGTAATAGGGATGATGAC